ACTGGGGTGACATGATAGCAGTGTTCCAATATCTAAGGGGCTGCCACCAAGAAGATGGGGTCAACCTATTCTCCAAAGCACTTGTAGGTACGACAAGAAGCAATGGGTGGAAACTAATCAAGAAGAGTAGCAACCTAGAACTAAGGAGAAATTTCCTGACAGATTAATATCAGAGGAACGACTTGCCTCCAGACATTGTGGGTTCTCTAACATGGAGGTTTTTAAGAAGAGATTGGACAACCATTTACCTGCAATGTTATAGGATTTCCTGCTTGAGCAGGGGGGTTGGACTAGAAGACCTCCAAGGTCCCTTCCAATTCTGTTATTCTGTTATACTGATAAGTTATTCTGGTGTATTACACACAGAGTTTCCAAAAGAGTTGTATGCAAATTGCATTAACAGTGTAATTCGTGTTAAAATGTTGTTGAAATATTGTTCCAAAATTACAGAATTAACCTTGTTCTAACCAAATCTCCTGCATGGTGCATCACCTTATACTAGAGATCATGTGTAATTCTGTGGAAAACTGGTCAAAATCATCATCACATTTATTTAATGCATTTTCTTAAACGATCATTTAAGAATCATTTTGTTTAAGCAAGTTGTTACTAGATTTTTGAATTGATGGCCAGTAGAAATACCCAGTTATTGTATATGAATGAATGGTGAAATCCATCTAATCTAGTAGATCATGGTACACATGTTTTAAACTAGCATGATCCAGCAAGAAAAAGAGCAAGAAAAGGATTTTTGTTATTCCTAGCACCTTCACATAGAACTAGAATAGATTCCTGTATAAACCCAAGCATAGCCAATACTCATTACTGCAGATTCATTAACATAGATGAGTAAGTGTATGGTAACCATCCAACATAGCTGCTCTAGCCATTAGATACACCATTGATGCCTATTTCACCTCCATATCTGAAGGTCCATAATCCCACCTGGAGAATTGACTTCACATTGTACTACTACAAATGATGCCAAATAACACTGTACTATGGAAACCATAGAAAAATTCCAAATGAATTCTCCTGGCAATAGGAATTCATAGAATTTTCTAGAGATCACCTCTGCTAAATCTCTTCTCAATTTTAAAGCAAGTCCATTTTTATTTTGACCTAATAAATGTCTCTTGGCAGGAGATATAGGACATGTTCAGGAGGGATGACTGGATTACTCTATCCTATGGTTTGAACTCAGCATCAGGCTGCTGGTTCATCTAAAGATTAGTAATGGAAAATTGTAGTTTAACCAAATCCAACAGGATATCTATTATATTCAGACAGGTTTATTACAAATCAGGATTAAGCCTTTTATGGCCCAGGATTACAAGCGTTCCCCACATCTACCTTTACAGCCTTAAAAGTTACCTCCAATTACGTCTGCTGAAAATCGGTGGCATAATTTTTGAAACGGAGACTGGAAAAACATAACAATTTTACTGTAAGCCCAGTAAAGGCCTAAGATAGGTTTCACAAACCCTTTGGTGGTAATTTTTCAGCTATCAGAAGGTATCCATCCTTATTTTATATGTACTCAGATACTTTTGTCAGGGCTGGTACTCTCTCTATTAAACAGGATAAAGTAGCTGCTTAGGCAGCAAATGTTGAATTATATGAAATGGGTAGTGAAGTGCTAGAAGACAATAGCAGTAGCGATAGCACTTAGACGTTGATACTGCTCCACAGTGTTTTACTCTCTGAGAAGTTTACCGAGTCAGCATATTGCCCCCAACAATCTGGGTCCTCATTTTACCCACCTCGGAAGGATGGAAGCCTGAGTCAAACTTGAGCCTGGTGAGAATCAAATTGGTGGCAGTTGGCAGAATTAGCCTGCAATACTGCACTCTAACCACTCACCACACACACAATGCTTTCTGTGCCACACTAGGTCTTTAGGCTGTCTCAGTGTAGCAAAACTTTTGTTATGCCATAGTTTTCAAGATCACCTACCTATATACAAATGTCTTATTTCTCTTAAAGAAGGGTGTTGTGGAATAAATAGGCTTAATGTATATGGGTACAAAATGCTGAAAATATCAGAATCACTGTGGAAATGCTATCTTCCATCCATCACTTTTCTAAGATTGGCCAAAGAAGACACATTCAAATACATCCTAGTTGCCATTGTGCATCACTTACCTGTTGGAGAAGACCTTGCTGTAGTTAAACACCTGAATCTCCAGCATCTCATTGACATCAATGCTGCTTGCGATGGGCCATCGGAATGTCTACAGAAATATTGGAAGACAACAAGAAGACAATTGGCATGCTAAGACACATTTTTTTTAGATATTCAGGGTATCTATTTCTACCTTGAGCTTTCTCAACACCACGTATGTGTTGCTCTTCTATAAAAGTACCAATAAAATACTGTATATCATTTACGGTTTACTATCTGAAATTATTATTAAATTAAATAGTAAATTACTATTAAATTGTTTAATTAAATTCTAATTATCATGAGAACTGGCTCAAAAATTCAAGTAACATTCCATGCTTTGGGATTTCTTTTCTCCAAGAATGATCTCATAGGAATTCTTCAAAATAAAAAAAAAATGTTTGGGTTTGCCTGGAAGTCACATCAAAAGAGATGATGAATATCCATCATTTAGAAGAAGCGTATGCTTTTTTGAATTGTCAAAAATTGCTGGACCCTTACCCTTGTTAGAAATAAGAAAATTCAAAAATAAAATGTAGATGAAGAGAATAGTATATTGTAGCATTAAGACAGTTCTCTATAGACATCCTCCTGTATCAAGCAATGCCACCCCTATTTCCTCCAGGATTAGGATGACAATAGAAGAAGAGATAAACCATTGCCCTAACTTTCTTTAATCAATTGAAGTTAGATTTTGTTTTTCAAAGCATCTGCTTAAGTTTACCAGAGTTTTACTTTGCCTAGGTGAATATGTTAGAGATGCATGTTGTTCTAAGATGTAACATTAATATGTAACAAGTGTGGTGTTAGGAATAGATATTTCTTTGTTCTCAGACCGTTAGAAAGAGGCCCGGCCGAAGGAACATTCTTTAATGCCAAGTAAGATAAGAAAAAGCCATGTTGGCAAAATGTGTGATGGGTGGTCATTGGGAGGTATCAAAGGAGATGATGTGGTCTCCATAAGGCGTCTCTGATTAGCTGTGCTCGGTCACTGGGTCGATGTAGGAGGGGTGTGTGTGGGGGCGTCGGGATAGAAGAACTATAAAATGTAATGTATTGAAATCTTAAGTGTGGTTCTTGGTTCAAACTTCTTGTTGAGGTCAGCTGAGATTCTACCGCTCTTTGCAAACAGCTTAACAATAAATTCTCTGTGTTTTCACCAATCCAAGTTTTTGTCATTTGGATTCATTTCCAACACCCTGAACTGGAGAAACTTCAATAGTATATAGATAAAGAATGTAAGAAGCTGAATTTATTTTTTTTAAATAAAGTTTTTTTTTTATTTTTAAACACAAACATATACATACAAAAACGTAAAAACATAAAATCCTCTTCCACTTTATATACATACAGTGTGTCAGTTGGTTACATATCTCTGTGCTATACTTTTGTAGTCATTTACTCACAATTTATATCAGTCTTCATATTGTCAAACTAACATATGTTTATATATTTATCAGTTATTAATCATCCATGACTAAACTATTTATTCCATCGTTTTATACAAGATGTTCCAAGTTTTATCTTAAAATTTATGTTATACTTTCAACCAGTGGTTATATGTATATGTATATGTATATGTATATGTATGTATATATATATGTATATATTATGTTTTATATCAATCTATTAGATTTCTATCACAAAATTATCTAGTCTATTATATTACCATGCCTTTTTATCCAACCATTGATAAAACAAATCCCATATCATATAAAATTGCTTATCTTCTTGTTCTCTAATTTCAAATGTCAGTTTACTCATTTCAGCACATTCCATAATTTTTTTGATAACTTCCTCCTGCATAGGTATTTTGTCATTTTTCCAGTTCTTCGCAAATATAATTCTAGCCGCTGTTAAAACATTTACAATCAAATATTTCAGTTCTTTATTGTATATGTCCGGTATGACTCCCAATAAAAAGATCTCTGGTTTAAAGTCTATATGTTGTTTTATCATTTTTTCCAACCATGTGTGGATTTTAGTCCAATATTTCTTTATGTCTGAACATGTCCACCACATATAGTAATATGAACCAGGTATCTAATGAAATTTCCAGCATTTATCCAATTTATTCTTAAACATTCTCGCAAATCTCATCGGGGGTAGGTGCCACCTGTAAATTATAAAATGACAATGTCAGTTGACATTGTCATTTTATAATTTTGAGACCACAATTTTTGCCATTTTTCCAAATCAATCCCATATCCAAAAATTTTCCCCCAAGCAATCATCATTTCTTTTACTTGCTCCTCCTCCAATTTAAATTCTAATAGATGTCCATAAAGTTTTTTAATTACCTTTTCATCAGTACCCATCAAAATTTTATCTAAGTCAGTCAACTTATCATAAATACCTTCTGCCTTGGAGTCTTTATCAAACCTAGATTGTATTTGCAAATAAGAAAACCAATTCATTTTTACACCTTGTTCTTGCAACGTTTGCATAGATTTAAGTTCATCCTTTTCATTCAATAGCTCCCCATATCTAACTGTTCCTTTTTATATACAGTATTATTGGATAAGAAAAATCTTCAATAGTTGATATCCATGTTGGAATTTTTAAGTAATATTGTCTTTTAATCTTCTCCCAACTCAAAAACAGTGCCTCACAAATATAATGTCTTCTAAAATACCCCTATGTTTTAGTTCCCTTTTCCAGAGAAGGGCACGCCATCCCAGCAGCAAGTCATGACCTTCTAAAGTCAATAATCTACTGTTCCTTAGTGTTATCCATTCCTTTATCCACATCAAACTTGTCGCCTGGTAATACAGCTCCCAATTGGGCAAGGCAAATCCTCCTCTTATTCTTGCATCTTGTAACAGCTTTAATTTTACTCTTGCTTTTTTACCCTGCCAAATATATTTCAACGCAATTCTATTTAAATCTTTAAAAAACTCTTTCCCTAATTGAATAGGAATTGTCTGGAATAAATATAAAACGCTAGGCAATATATTCATCTTAATTGTGGATATTCTCCTAATCAATGATAGTTGTAATTTTTCCCATTTCATCAAGTCTTTTCACAATCTGCTGTATGAGTTTAACATAGTTATCTTCCTTCAGGGTACTGCATCTTGGTGTAATATAAATCCCTAAGTATTTAACCTTGTTCATGACCTGTATTTTTAAAGTTTCTTCCAACTCTTTCTTTTGTCTTGTTAACATATTCTTTGTTAATATCTTTGTTTTGTCTTTATTTATTCTCAAACCTGCTACTTTTCCATATTCTTCTATTTTTTCTATTAATTTGGGTGCTGTTTCCATTGGGTCTTCTAATATAAATACCAGGTCATCTGCAAAAGCTTGCAATTTATACTCCTCCTTTTTAATTTTCATTCCTTTTATTTCTTTTTCTTCACTGATATTCCTGTTCAACACTTCCAATGTTAACACAAACAGCAGAGGCGATAATGGACAGCCTTGCCTTGTCCCTTTTCTTATATCTATGGATTCTGTTAATTATCCATTCACCATCACCTTTGCAGTTTGTTCATGATATATTGTTTCAATGGCTTGGATAAATTTCTTACCAAAGCCCATTTGTATCAGTTGCAGTAAAATAAATCGCCAACTTACATTGTCAAAGGCTTTTTGAGCATCTAGAAACATCAAGGCCATTTGCTTCTCAGGATGTGCTTCATAATATTCCAGAGTATCCAAAATGATTCTCACATTGTCTTTGATTTGTCTCTTTGGCAGAAATCCATTTTGATCAGTATGAATAAAATTATGTAAGTATCTTTTTAGTCTTTCTGCCAAAATTGAAGCAAAGATTTTATAGTCTGAGTTCAATAAAGATATAGGTCTATAATTTTTAACTTGCTGCAGGTCTGTACCTTCCTTCAGTGTAAGTATAATGTACGCTTCTGACTATGTTTTTGGTATTCTTTTCTTTAACATAACTTCATTCATAACTTCTAGAATATGAAAATTCAATATTTCCTTAAAAGTCTTATAGAATTCCGCTGGCAACCCATCTGGACCTGGAGCTTTCCCAGCATTCTGTTTTTTAAAGGCTTCTGTTAGTTCCATCGTTATACTTCCTTCTAACATTGTTTCAATATTTTTGGGTATCTGAGGTAAGTTAGCTTTCTGAAGATATTGCTTGATTTTTTTCTTCTTGAATATTCTCTTGAAAATATAGTAATCCATAGTAATCCTGTATAATTTTTTTCTTCTCCTCATTTCCATAACAAACCTGTCCTTCTTTATTTATCAATTGGCTAATTCTTCTTGCTTCTCTTTCCTTTCTCAATTTATAAGCTAGCCATCTGACTGGTTTATTTGCATCTTCAAAGTAATTCTGTTTCGCACTTTTAATTTTTTGTGCTAATTCCTCTTTTTCCATTAGTCCCATTTTATGTTTAATTATATCCATTTTATTTTTAATGTCTTTTTTGTGGGGACTTCTGTAAGTATTTTTCCAGTCTTTTATATTCATCTTCTAATATCTTAAATGTCTTTTTCTGTTTTCTGTTTCTTCTCCTAGCATAATCTATTATCAAGCCTCTTGTGTAGGCCTTCATGGTGTCCCAGAGATTCTGTAAAGATGTATCCTCTTTTCTATTTTCTTTGAAGAAGAAAACAAGTTCTTTCTCTATTTTCTGTTTAAAGTCTTTTTCTTTCAGAATCATATTATTTAGGTCCATCTAGATTTCTCTTGTATCCTTTCCAAATAACTGATACTGGATTATGATCTGCCCATGTGCTTGTTTCTATTTCAATCTGTCATACATTAGTCAATAATTCTGCTGACATCCATATCATATCTATTCTAGAACAGGATGTGTGTCTATTTGAATAGAAAATATATTGCTTACTTTCTGCATTTCTCTCTCTCCATGCATCTTTTAAATTAAATTCTTCTGTTATTCGAAGGAAGGATTTTGGTAGTATCTTTCTAACTTTCTTTGCTGTTTTCTGTGTTTTATAGTCCAACCGGTCATTAATTATTCCATTAAAATCACCCATCATAAAGATATTAACATAGTCCAAATCAATTATTTTTGCATGTAATTTCCTATAGAATTCTTCTTGTTTATCATTCGGGGCATAAATTGCAATTAA